ACTCAGTGGTAATCTGCCAGTATCATTCTTTGTTTTGTTGCTCAAATTGTCCTAGATTTCACCAGCAAGAACTCCCGCCAGCTACTTTCCATGTCCTTTGATCTCCTGTGAATCTTTGAGCACTTCTTCACTTCCTTGAACAACAAAATATTTCAGGATCATCTTGTACTTTCACTCCGGCCCTGAAATTAACCATTTCTCCAAGGAGTCCTGATTCCTTTTGCTGGAAAAATCTTACTTAGAATTTAAGATCCAGGGTCTACCTGTGATCATTGGTACCGGGGTACCATTGTGTCTAGATACTCAGCAGACAGAACCAGAAAGTATTTCTGTGTTTATATGCACATATACCTACACACGCATGCACACACATACAACTATCTTTATATCTATCTGTATATATTTTTAAAAATGAGTTCATACTACCACTTCCAGTTCCAATCCAATTCCTCAGTGTTCTTTTTAGCCTTCCCTCGTCCATGTTTTTACCTTCTCCAACAGCAAGAAACCTGGCTTTCACTGTCCCCAGTGTATTTAATTTGCTGGTATAACCTCCAAGAGGAAGAGATGCAGAGCACGTGCTCCCATCCTCCACAATGAGACATATTTAGATCTGTTGGGGAGGACCCAAAAGCAGGAAGAGTTGAACCTAAGCAGAAGACAGCACTTTCCTCTGAAACCAGGAGGCTGGAACTTTGCAGCTGTGCACCGGAGCACTCGGAATGACACTCCAGAGAAAGCAGCACTTTTCCTTGTTTACAAGACTTTTTCTCGTTACAAGAAGGAAACGATGGAGGGGTCATGAAAGATCACAGGAGATTGAGGGGTTATAATGTTAGCAAAAATCTAAGAGCCGAGCTGGACCTGCAGTCAGACTGGACACCTGTAAGATTGAACTGTGGTAGGGCCTTACGATCTGCTTTCTGCAGGCAATTAACCACAGGGAGTGGCTGGAAGCCCAGGACTCACAGAGAGAAGCTGAGGACACTCGGGCTGACTGGTATGCAACACGGGAAATTCTCTTCAATCTAGTTTACATCCTTGCATCAACCACTGGATGGCACATGGCACAGGAATTTTTTTTTTTTTTTTTTTTTTTGAGACGTTGTCTCACTCTGTCACCGAGGCTGGAGTGCAGTGAGTGGCGCGATCTCGACTCACTGCAACCTCCGCCTCCTGGTTTCAAGCAATTCTCCTGCCTCAGCCTCCGGAGCAGCTGAGACTACAGGTGCGTGCCGCCATGCCTAGATAATTTCTCGTTATTTTTAGTAGAGACGGGGTTTCACCATGTTAGCCAGGATGGTTTTGATCTCCTGACCTCGTGATCCGCCCTCCTCCGCCTCCCAAAGTGCTGGGATTACAGAATTTTTTACGGGACTTAAGTTTATGCAAGTCTTTGTAGGATATGAACCTACAATTTTCCAGTAGAGGAAAGCTGCAAAAGAAAAGCTCAGGCTCCTTTCTGTGTCAACAAGGCAATTAACTTGCTTTTGTGTTGAGGTTTAGTTTTGAATGAAAGGTGGTGTTAGGAGCATTAACCGGTCGCATATTTACAATCTACATAATATAATTTGCTGCTGCAGCAAACCAGGGACTGTGAAGAGTAAGAAAAAGGAAACCACTTCCATCCCTTGCTTGGGGTTTACTGCCCTTGCCTGGAGTTCAGCGTTTAGACTCTGCAATGTTTTACCTATGTGATATAATCTCCACATACATATGCACACAAAATTTTGCAGACACAGGAATGAGGGGAGAGAGATTCTCATGGAAAGGTGACCCTGCTTCTTCTGGGCATTTGCTTACTCATTCAGTACCTGCCAGTGCCCTACTCTGTTACAAATTCACTAAAAATTTCCTTGGAATTCACTGAATATGCTCAAAAACAGTCAAGTAGGATGTTCTTTGCTACTGTTTGGCTTGAAGTTTCCTTGGAAGAGATTTCAAAACAAATTAATTATCTCGACTGAATTCACTGGAAAATAAAGTGATCAATAGTCGTGTTTTTGAGTTAACTGAAAAATGATCTCAGGAATCACAGGCAAGGCCCAAAATTAGTCGTCTGAAACAGCTATTAATAGTTGGCCACAATATTAACACCTTTGGCGAAGCCGCGTGGTGCCCGGGGTGAGTTCCCGGGTGTCAACAGCGTCCCTTGGGCGCTTGCGGTGGTCTTTGCCCGGCACTACCACACCCCTCAGGGAGGGTTTTTGGGATCAAAGGCATCTTAAAGCCAACTGAACTGTGTGAGAGTTGTCAGGCTCACAACGGAGTCGTTCGTGTTTAAAACCCTGACAAGCAGGGTGGGAAGGGCCACAGAGGCAGCGTTCTCCCGCCGGAACGCCGGATAACAAGACCATCCCGAGAGACTGCGCAAAAGCCACAACCGTGCACACTGGCTACGCAACCTCACACCGAAGAAATACTGGAGGACTCCCGCCAGCAACGCCCGTCTGACCTCCGGCGGGCGCCCTCGTCACCGGTCCTCGTGGCTGGGGAGTTACCGCAAACAGGGCCGCCGCCCTCTCATCCCCCCGCCACCCCGGAT